CCAGGGCCCGGAGAAATCACCTCTAGAAGGCTTCTCAATTCCAGAAGTTCGTGCAAAACGATGGGGGAGACCGTGGCACGCATCTGCTTGAAACAAATTCACGACCCAGAAACCTCACCAAACACCTCTGGAATACTGAACTCTTGAGCCTGAGCCGCCATCTGATGCGAGATGTCAATGTTCGGTTATTGGATGCCCTCCTCCTCATCATCGTCATGCTCATCCGCCAAATGCAAAAAGCTCATTAGTAGGTCTATTAAAGGTCCTTCATGCCAGAAAATCCAGTTGTAAAACTAGACTAGCTAGACTCTAGACCTCCCCAATGCCCCTATATACCCGTAAACTCCAAAAACTTGGAGGCCATTGCACACCTACCCTACATCCCAACTGGACGTCATAAAAGCCAAAAGACCTCAGAATAAGAAAGCTCCCAAGCACCACAAGAACTCAAGCTCACCGCCGGCGCACCCCACATCCTCCCATCCAACTCCACAACTCCACGCCGTGTCGCCTCGATCAAGACGTGTCGCGAGCTATCGGGGTTGACGCCATCCGTGTTGGTGGGCCGCACCGCTGGCGCCCACCTCGGTGGCTCGGTGGCTCGGTGGTCGTACGGAAGGTGGGGCAAATCCATGTACGCGAAAGTAACGGAACGGAACGTTGTCTTCCTTTCGGGACGATGTGCTTGTTTTTTCCATGTGATTTTGTTCAGAGTGTCTTCAGAGTGAATTTGGAGGGACCTGAGCCTCAGGTGGCAGTTCTACACAAAGGATGGATGAAAGAATGCGAGCCTCCGGCAGCTTGGAAGGCTCAAATTGAGGCTACCTGACTGTTGAATGACCGAAAGCAGGGCTGTCCACTACTAGGTGAGAAAAAATCGCAGGATTCCCAGACTGAAACTCTTCCATCTTCCCTCATTCAGTCCCACCCGGTTATTCTTCACAAGTTCCCTCAAGAATTGATATACAGCCTGTACGTACAGCAAATCAGCAACCTAAAAACGGTGCTCTTTTAAGCATACTAATATAAAACGTTTTACATGCCCCTGCAACCTGTGAACGCGGTTCAGGTTCCACCACGTTCCGAGCCACCCAAGACCTCTCCCACTCTCAGGCCCCTGCGGGACCAGGATGCTGAGCAACTGCACAGTGACCTGATTCGGTCTCCACACTGCGCGGAGCTTTCCGAAGAGCACCCCTGTCAGAAAGCATCTGAAGCATACAACTGAATCCCAGTAAGTGAGATGCAAGGAAGAATACCCCCCGGGATGTTGAAACATGTGGAGTCACTTGCTGATGGTCAAAATCCTGCAGAGCTGAGGATCCACCAGCAGAGCTGATGATCCACCAACAAATCCAGCTGCAGAGCTTCATCTGCTTTGCTGTTCCAAAAGAGACTCGTTTTTGAATCCAATCCCTTCATCGAATGATAACCATTGGCACCACACATGATGTTGTTACCAACACATGCTGTATACACCCTTGGAAGAAGTGACACCTCTCATCAAAATTGAAGAATAGGTCTCGGCTTGTTGATGGAACTATCTCGAAATCACCTCGTCTGAAAGACCGGTCTCATCTTAAGATGAAAATGATTTCATTGGATCTGCAGTTCACCAGATTGGACCAAATTGGACTAGACTAGATGGTGCTTGATCTTCACCTCATGGATCTTCCCCACACGGTCCACCGGTCCACCGGGCAAACCCGGTGTCAACACGGGTTCTCCGCACGAACTCGCAGCGCCACAGGTGCACGGTCCAGAAACCCGGGTTCCTGGACAGGAGCGAAGCAGATGGAACCGTTCCGAAGTCAAAAAGCTTGATATATCATCTGATATATATATATATACATACATCATCATGATGATATTATCATCATGATAATCATTATATCATCAAACCGTTCCGATGATCATCATGATATATATATATATATTGATTATATAATTATATATCATCATCTCACGAACTTTGTAGGACACCCTGTAGCGGCAAAACATGGCAAAACAGCAAGACCTTCATAGTAGGATGGGAGGAGCTTTCACAGGTTGGAGGTGTTTCACTACGCGAACCAAACGAGAAAGAGAGGTGAGCAGTCCGTGAAGCTCCGCTTGTCAGAAGTTGCATCTGCACGTCACCGAAGGTCCAACGGTCACCAGTGACACGTTGAACACGTTTTGACCCAAAACAACGGTCGATGAGGCATGTGTGTGTGCGTGTGCAAAATACATCAGTCAATTGGAAAGGGAGCGTTCTTGCATGTTTCCAATGCGGATCACTACCATTTCAAGAGCTTCCTGCTGTGGCTTTGAAGCCACGACAATCTAGATGCAGGTGTGGTGGAACATTATCAAAGACCTACAGCATCCTAGAATCCTACAGCATATAGAAAATAAACATCGACCCCGCATTTCCCAAATCCTGCCTGCTTTCAAAACAGAAATCATGCAATCTAGTTCCCCAAAAGATCGTGTTCAACCTCCTTCTCCTTCCATGGTCGCTTCAGCGAGGACTCACAAATGTTCTGCTCAGCAGAATGAGGCATTCGAAGAATTTCAATGAAAGCAGTCGAACAAAAACATGGGAAGCCTCATGGCGATGTTCGCCTCGGTTTCATTCGGTTTCTATCTTCGGGTGAACTCAGTGATTCATGTGATTCCAACGACCAAAGCAAGCTTTCAAAACGGCTCCTTCCGCGTGGACACTGGGATGTTTGGGGCCTGGAGAAACCTCATGAAACCACCTGGATCTTCACGAACCGCCGACCCTCCCTGTCCTGATCGTGAGGTTGCGAATCAGGATGTCCTCCGGAAGGCCGCGACCGGCGTTCCGCCGCGACCGGAACGCCGTCGTCGTGTTCGGAGTCCAGTCCAACGCCGGCCAGTGATGAATCGATTTCGGAGACCGCCGGTGGACGACTCGTGGAAGAATTCTCATGCAGATCGATCAGATCAAAGCGGTTTTGGGCCATTAGAGACCAGATGGCCATGGATGGCATCATAAGATCAGATGGCCATGCTTATTAGGATCCATGCCATGCAAATAGAGACCACGAAAGAAATCATTGAACTTTGGACACCTCGACCTCGCACTGGCCAACGTGGATGTCGTGGCACCATCTGGTCCCACAAATAGAAGCAGTTCTTTGGATCCCTTGGACTCAAAATGCCTGAGGATCTATATATAATAAGATCGTGATTTTACGCTCACCGAAATCAAACAGGTTTGAGAGAATGTTGAGAGCACATGATCTTCTTCTATACTCTACTCTGGGGAGTTGAAGGTGGCCGAATTTTGTTGGTGGAATGTGTCCAAAACAAGACTCACCCCGTACGGAATTACATATTTCTGAGCTTGAAGCCGCTAGCCGTTCTAAGCCTCCTTAAAGACATATCAAAAGAATCCAGACGAGGAGGTCAACCACTCAAGCCAAGCCAAATAAATGCCGGTGACTGAACACATGAATGACTTTATATACACCGGCACCTACGGTGTTCTTCTTCCACTCCATACTCGATCACCGATCACCGCGACAGATCCGTGAGCGGTACCGTCCTGGGACTCTTGGAATTGGATCACCTCGATCCGAGTGGATCGGGGTGAAACGAAGAGGGCGATCACTCGTTTTCTCATCCACCATAGCAATCAAGAAGACAATCCAAAGCAGTTATTAGTTGATATTAGTTATATTATGTGTTATTATGTTATATACACATATATACACCCTCAAAATGGAGACATGATGAGAAATGGAAAAAGAACCACGAAGGGCTCCAGCGTCAGCTTCTTGTTACTAGTAGCGATGCCCTTGTAACTAGTAGCTTCTTGTTACTAGCAACACCCTTAGCTACTAGTAGCTTCTAGCGTAGCTTCTTGTTACTAGTAGTAATGCTGCCCTTGTTGCTGTTCGCGATGCACGTGTTACTAGTAGCTGGTCATATCGCTGTGAAGTTCGATCCAGGTCCCCCCTGAGGCACCCCACATGCGGTCGACCCAGCAAGGGCTCTCTCAGCCAACGCCTTCAGTGGGGATCCCTTCTCTCCATCCTGTGCCCTTTGAAACACAGAGTCACCCAGTGTGACTGTTCCACAGAGATGAAGCGATGTTGAAAGTTCAAAGGATCCTCTTAGATCAAAACAACTAGTAATTAAGGGCATTACTACTTGTCACTACTAGTAGCTCCTGGCATAACTACTATAGTGACAAGTCACAAGCAGCTACTAGTCACAAAGGGTATCGCCACTAGGAGCAAGAAGCTACTGATCGACTCGTCTTCAAAGCTTCGGCCCCAACGTCCACCAATCCAAGCCATTCCCTCAGCTCGCCGGCTCCCACATTGGCCGAGAGGATCCGTGCTTCGGGTTTCGATCGATCGGATTGAAGCTTCGACGCGGTGCAGTGGGGTGTGTGGCGATGCCTCGCAAAGATCCAAGCGACGATGTCCCTTCTTCTCGGTGTCTTTTTGGAAAAGATAGGGACCAGCCGCGTCGGGACCAGCCGCATCCCACCTGTTGGACTTGGATGTGCTATAGTGGGGAAACCAATCACCCCAAAAAGGTTAAAGATTGTTAAAGGTTATGTAGGTCTTTAAGAGCCTTTCCAAGGTCATCTTTCAAGGCAAAAAACACCCAACGCACTGGCCTGCGCTTTTGGGCGGGTGGGGTGGTGCCCAAAGAACACGTGGATGCCAGGCCACAGCCCACATGACATCCTCCCACCGACGGAGTTTGAACCAAAAGGGGTTGAACCATAAAATCCTTGAACCAAAAGGGGTCATTCAATGTTATTCATACTGAAGCGGAAGGGAAAGGCAACACCACTCCCTTCTGCCAATGATTTTATACTTCCCAAAAAGCACCAGCATCTCCCGTTTCAGGAATCCGGAATGTCCTGGCACGGATTGCTTTCGAAGTCATGACCCTAGAGGTCCACCAAACCCTATGAAACTCGGGTAAAATCTCGTAAAATGAGGTCCTTGACCTTCACTGGGTGACATGTCGTCACTTCACTGGTTTACTCAGCGACGTTCCATCGATTCTGTCACGCAGAAAGTCCAGCGCTTTCCACCGCGGCTGGGCGACCATCGAGGGTGCCGTTCTCACCGGTGATGGTCACGTTCTGAACCTGCGGTGCATGCGACGTCCATGATCGGTGTTTGACAAATAGGAGTGGTTTCAGGGGTGGTTTCACAGGTGAATGAAGGTACATATGCCATAAGGTGGCAAGTGTATCCGGGTACATGTGGGATTGGAACAAAGTTGAGTGACTCTGGTGGGCACATGCATGTGGTTTACATTGACATTGAGTTGCGTGGAGTTCCTGAAAAAGTATTGACAGTTAGATGTCGCAATCATCAGGGATGAGGGATATGGTATGTCAGGTCAGGCACACCCATATCAGGTGAGCCTCAAATAGATTTGGCAGTGGGTCAGAGCTGGGGTACTCCCGTTACCAACTGGATTTCTACCGGATGACTCCCGGATGACCTACCATGGTCTAGTGGAGGAGGTGCCATGACGAAAACAGCGAGAGCCATTTCCCGGACAAACCAAGTTAAAACTGTACGTCCTAAAGCCAGCACAGACGGACCAATTGACTTCATATGTCATATTGCTTTGTTCACTCCTGATCTCCAGTGCTTCTCCAGGCAGGATCGCTTCACTTCAAGACACCTGGCATAAATCCTGAGGTTCGTGGACCTTGATGGTGCAAAAACACATCGGTTCCAGTTGACTCGATGCTGCACGACCAATGCGACACGCGAAGTTCTGCGTTTAAAGCGCCTTGTTGCCCCACAGCAATGGCTGATACCTCGCAGCCGCCGCAGGCAGTTCAATGCTTTGAAAAAGGAAGGCATGCCAAACATTGATCTGACATGGAGAATCTTTGGTGTAAGATGGTGTAAGATGGTGTAATAAGATTGGTCTAGAACTAGAACTCGATCTATGTTGAGGCAAATATCACAAATTATACACCAACCCAGAAATCACATGGAAGATGTATCGGTCTCTTCTTCGTGATGAGTTGTGCATCTTCCCGCATCAGAGACGCAAGTGGGAACTGCACGCTTCGGAATGCCGAAGCGTGGTCGGGAGGCCAAACCTACGTAGTGACCCTCCGATGCCAGGATGCCAGACCTGGTCAGAACCGTTGGAAGTTCATCGCATGGGTGGGACCCGAGGCCATGGGACCGGGTAGCAACGTCACATGGGACCCGGGGCCCTCGCCTTGGCAGGGCGTCTCGCAGATCTGCTTGAGCTTTCAACACGCCCTGCATCGACGTGCCACGGTCGCAACACGGTCGAATCATCGCACGAGTTCGACACCCCAAGCAGGGCATTCTGTGATATCAAAAGTGGACTGTGGCAGGATCTTCTTGGCACTTGTTTCTGGGATGGAGATAACTGATATCCTATGACGCACTATTTCAAGTCACAGGTAAGACTTCAAGTTAGGCCCCAGGCATGCGGCATTCTGTAAGAAATTCTTTGGTCTTGCCTGAATCTCTACATGTCTCCCTTGGTCTTAGCGGTCGACGGAACGGAGACCTTCGGAACGGTGGACGTGTGCGAGGGGAATTTTGAACTGATCTCCAGTTCTTTCGCACCACGTCTTGCTGAAATAGAAGTGCTATTCTGATTGCTTCATTACGGCGCCGCATGGCGTCCAGGACAATGAATTGGGCGCACCCGAAAAAAAAAAAAAAAACGCTGGACGGCCACTTGTGTCCCTAAGAGTGCCATTTGGATTGCAGCTCATCGCTTGGATTGCCAAGCCATTGTTTCAGGAATGCCTGAAGCACTTGTCTCAATCTTGCTTTGCTCCAGGAAGCCATGGAAAGAGTCGACACCAGTCACCATCACGCCCTTTGCCTTTTTTCTTGCGTGAACAAACAATGGCCCTCCACTCACTTGTAGAAACTCAGAATATCATCTCTTTGGTGTCTGTTGGGGCTATAGCTCTTGAGTTCTTGACCACCCACAAATGGTTGTCATGGTCAAGCACGCCAGCCCTGTCCTGCTTTTGGAAGACACCCTGCACATCCCTGCACCACCATTGTCGGCAAGTATCCTACTATTTGGGCATCTGGTTCTCCCTCGTCTTTCTGGGGACCTTCTCCCTCCTCCGCTAGCGAAGTGGAAACATCCACACCTCCCTTCGAACCGTAGCTTCATCCAGGGGCGGACCTGTTGCAAACACGAGCTCGAATGAGAGGCGATTCCTGGGAAAGCACAAAACCAGGACCCAAATGAAAGGGAAGAATGGTGAACCCCCGCTGAACAAAGAATTAGACAGTCATCTCTGGGGGGTTGCTTATGGTCTAGTGTCCCTCGTTGGGATCTTACTCTACCATTACCAAACGATGTGAAAAGCAATGCTTGGCCTTCAGGATCTTGCTATGTTATGCCCCACGTGACCAGCGATACTACCGCTTTGCAGAATACGGATGTTCCGATGTTCCAAAAAGCCGTTTATTTCAAGGCTGCGACATGTTTTCTGCAAAGCATTGCCTCAGGATGTTTTTCGCCACCCCCGACTCCTCCACATGTCCCACAAGCGAACCACCAAGCTACAGCCCCATCCGAATTGCCATCATAACCCATCCAACGTGTTGCTCTGATGTTGCGTCAGAACCGTATTGTATATTGCATGCGCATAGACATGCATAGAATATATAACAAATTTACCGTTACAGTAAGAGCTTCTTAATGTCCGTGCACATTCAACATTCAACGCCAGACATGGTCCAGTACATTCCACCAATTTGCAAAGGTTGCTCGGTCCATTTTACCGTCGTCACCGAAGAACAAAAAGCTCGCGGTACGAGCATGAAACGAGTGCCCCCGGCCCCAGGATGGCAAGGCAGGAATCACCTGGTCGAAGAGTGAGTGGAAGATTCAGTGCAAAGGAGGTATGAGTCGGTATGAGTGCAAGACCTGGGGGAGATCTGAGCAGGAACCATACTTGATGGTCATGCCGAGATCTCTACGCTGCGCTGGAAGGCCGGTCCGAGAATATAAAGGCGTAGCTTCAGTGGTCAAAGCCTCGAAGTCACTCCTAGACTGAACACACTTCAAACTTGAAACATCTTTAAACATTAATTCTTAAATTTGGGTCTTCTCACATTGGAGACTGCTAGCTAAACCATCAAGTTGGGTGATCGCTTTTCTGCTGTGTGTACCATAGCTGCGTAAAGGCTAACCTCTGTCTTCAGGACTACAAAGACCTGGCTGGAACCTGAGGAAGCAGTAGTAAACTTAAAGCATGAAACTGGGCGTGAGATGTCTTGAAGAATTCAATTATGTTCGCAAAAGTTAGTTGCCCCAACTTTCGTGCTGGTGCACGGAGTCAAAAAACTTGAGGTGTCAACATGTGTCAACCATCGGAGGGGTCTCAGTCATGATATCCTAAGCTGGCTGTGTCCGCAGACTTTGAACCTACCGAGCCGGAAATCTTGGGATCCATCCACCCAATCACTGATCCTGCTGGGAATGATCTGCTTTCCCTTGTGATCTACCCCAAAAAATCCGTGACGTGGCAGATTCTCTCATCACCATCGCTGAATTGGCCACCTTATTATGTGCCCTGGAACCCAGACAGCTTCGCCCCGCCGGGACCTCGCGACCGGGTGTCCCTCACCGGCAGCCGTGCCATGCTGGTGTCAGCCACCAGCGTCGCTCCTTTGGCAAGCCAAAGGACCTGCGACCCACCACCGGGACCTGCGACCCACCACCGGGACCTGCAACCCACCACCGGGACCTGCGACCCACCACCGGACAACATGGCGAAAGGCGGAGAAAAAATGCTGCAAACAGAAAGTCAAAGGGGCGCTGAGACATGAACCGCTAGGTCTTACCCTAAGGTTGATGTGAAAAAGATGTGCTAGCTAGGTCCGGTATGCCACACACTCCAAGGTATGAACCACTGACCGCCCGAGCGGTCGGCTTGGGGTCATTGTAGGACTTCATGTCCATCCACGTCTCAAAACATCCAGCGGCTGGCCAACCTGCGGCGGGTTCTCCTGCGGACCCTTGGACCCTTGGACCCCATGGCCCCTGGTCCATCTCTGCCGAGGCACCATGTGGCTAGTGAGATTCACCGGCTGCACATGCCAGGTGCCAGGCCTGAACCAAGGAGGGCCAGGCGGAGGAGGGACAGGCGGGGGAGGGCCAGGCCAAGGAACAGGCAGTCGGTGCCAGGACGTTCTCGCAAAACCAAACCCGAAAGACGTGGCCTGGCTAGGGAGGGTGAACTTCACTGGTCTCGGTCTAGTCTACTGCGATCCCTCTAACCCAATCCCGTGACGGTCCGGTGCTCCGTGTGCCCCATCGTCCTGAGCTCCTGACGGAACCGTGAGCCAGCCACCACCCGCCGCAGACAGGTCAGCCTCGAGGGACAGGAACCCCGCCGCAAATGGATCATGATCTTCCGCGGGAAATGAGAAAATGCTTGGGGACGTTTTGAGTGACTTTGGGGACTGGTCCAACTACCTCTTCGAAGGTGATGTGAACTGCCAGGGAGAGTACTCTTGACTAGTTGTCAAAAGTAAGTATGCTAAAACATGCTAGTTTGCGCGGTCTTTAGCAATTCCTCTTTTGAGGGTGGACCCCAGCTTCATTTGCAGGGGCCTCTATTTCCCAAGTTGAGTGTCTAGTGAAGCACTGGGTGTCTTCTTTCCGGCAAGGGTGTCACAGATTCGCTTGGTCTGAAAATACTCTGTTCATATGGTGCATGAACACAATGCCGAGCCTTGCCCCACCACGTGATTCCAGGACCGAATATCCCTTTCGGTGAAACGCAGCTTCATGTGTCACTCAGGTCACCATCTTCCACTAGGTCGACCACCCGAAACGCGGTTCTGCCACCCACGGCACCTTCGGCCCAGTGGACTCCCCGTGGGTCATGACCCGGTCCGACGATGGAGGGCAAGAAACCAAGGCCCGGCGCAGCCCTGCACTGGTCTGCTCCAGCCTGGTCGTTTCAATCACCCTTCCTCTCCGCATCCAGGTCACGGCAGGTCCAATGGATGAAACGATCAATTAAAGGTCTATAGAATCGGAAGATGGCGGAGACGATCGAAAATCCTCAAACACCCGTCCGCCCTCTTCTGTGGCTCTTTTTTGAGCTCGTCCGTCCAGTCTGAATATTGGTGGTGGTTCCAATCGTTGGGTCAGTGAGAGCGCTCGTGACTCCCGAGCCGTTTCCTTGGAAAATACAGGTTCATATATTATTCCAACTGTTGGATTTCCAAGGTTTGTAGGGAGTTAACAAAAAAAACCACCGTTTTCCTTGGACATTTTGGGGACTGTTGGATTTTTGTAGGGAAACAATGTCCCCAAAAAGGTTTTGCAGGCTTTGACAGGGCAGGCACACGTTGACACGCCAGAACGAGGTCGATGCAGGGGACGTGCCTTATTGAACCAGTTAATGGTGAATCGTTTTTGGGGTACCAAAGGTCAAGGTAGATCGTCAAGCCAACCAAATGGTGCAACAAAACACCTTAAAAAGGCGTGTGGCTTTAATGTTGGGAATACTAGGGAGGTGAACTGGCGTGACATGACACACTGCCCCAACCAGCCAGCTTGTCACAGGGCTACGCAGCTATGCTACCCTCCACAAACAATAAATACAACTTTCGAGAGTTCTATTGGCCTCTGAAGGGTACATGTAGACTGAGGATGGTCAACCCTCTCCTTGTGGGGGCGTTTTATTGCTCGCTCCCTCAGTCAACAGTCAACAGTACGGCTCACTCCCTCAGTTTTCTCTGGGAATAAAAAGGTTTACGTCCAATCAGGTTGAGGAAACCAAGCCCCAAAAAAGCGAGCTTTCGCAGGTGAGTGGATCTCACTGCGTTGAGGATTCTCCAAGCCTGAGAGATTTCCCTGTCAGCAGTTGAGCTTCCAGGCCCATCGGGCCCTTCTCGTGCGCCATACTGGTCCAAGGAGATGTCAAGACCTAAAGGACCCAGGACCGACCGGAAGGACCCAGGACTTGTTTGCTGATGTTTGCTGAACATTAATCACCGACCCCAGGTGATGGGGGAGCGCGCCAGAGAATCACCGTGAACGACGTCTGGGAAGAAAGTGATGTTTACTGCCAAAGAAAGTGAGTTTAATTAGCCTTTATGGAAGAAGATCAAGGCGGTTGGGCATGAAAAGGAGCATGTTTTGCGGTCATCGCTGATGTCCTGAATAGGTATGAATAGTGCCTATGCTGCGGAGGCGAAGCAAACTGCGCAGAGGCGCCTAAAAATGGAGGGTTTTGACTTAAGGGTGCCCGCGGAATGGTGAAAGGTGGCCTACCTGAGCCTGTGCAGCAAATAGTGCTCACACACAAAAAAAAAAAGCACTGCCCCTGTTTTTATGTGGGGTTCACTCTTCGCCTGTTTGAAGGGATGTTAAGGTCACATCGTGGGCACAACCTGGTAGACGATTGATTTACCTTCTTGGAGGGAGGAACTATTTCTGAACCGCGTAAACTATGCATAATCCCCTTCCCCCTCATTGTCATGTAGAACATGCGTCCCTGAAAAGCGGCAATGAACACGATGAATGACTCCATGTATGAAGGCATTCTGCTGCTTTGTTCCCATGACACAAAAGAAAAAAAAAGAAACACACACCCATGACAATCCTCTCTCCGACTCGTTGGACCTACTAGGAACAATGATGCTATGCTCGGTGGAGGCCATCGCAAGTGGAGGCCATCGCTACGAACGTCACAAGAAGTTACTGGTGGTGGGCTTTCTCCGACACGTCTGACTCGTGCCTGCTGAGAGGACTGCCAGCGCCACCTCGAGGTGGTGCCCGGACACATCGGCACCAAAGAGATTCCTCTCCAAATGAGTATAGGATTATATCCCATTCACTGTACTGTAACAGTGGATGATGATGGTCAGGTTGCAGGAAAAAAATTCTCTCTAGTATATCGATAATCATTTAACGACTGTTACAGGTAATGGGACCCCCAAAAGGATTGTCGTAGGTGTCTACCAAGTGTGTGGACAAAGTTCCACCGAACACGCGCTCCAACCGACCTCAACGTTCGGTGATCGGGGTGCCAACGTTTGTGCGTTACCTGTGGAGTCATACGGCCGTTGCTTCGGTATGGTCGCTGTGGTCGTTGGAGCCCGAAACGCACGGGGAACAAAGGGGTTCCATCTTGAGGTCTACACAGTCTACGTACAGAGTCTACACCAGGTGCAGGCTTTGAAAAGCCTGCCCAGAGACTCCCAAAAGCAAAGTCTCAGTGCGCTCATCGGTGCATCAGTGCTCTCATGGCCCGGGGACCTTACTGGGCAGCAAATGCTTCTGGTGAGGCATTTGAAGAAGGACATCCACAGCATCTCAAAATACAGTAACTCCTCAGAAGCCCAAAATAAACCATTTGAACCCTTTGAGAATATGCTTAGCGTTCTAGCTTCCAATTGCAATCCCTTGAAATATAATTTCTTCACGGTGGTGAAACTTTCCACAAACTATAGGGTTCAAAATCCCGGCTTTGACCAAACTGTGATCTCGTCATTCATGCACATTTACTGCATCAATGGCTGTGTGTTTTTAAACGTCGCACATGGGCAAAAAAGAGCACTTAGAGGGTCGACTCGGTAGACCGTCTACCACCCAACAAGGTCTTGATGCACCCACACCGCCGGGCGCCTGTGCCTTGAACATCGCGCACCTTGAGTTGAGGAGCTGGAGCAGAACGGAGGGGAGGAAAGGGAGGAGCTGGCCTGTTTTGAGGAAGAAATCAGTGTGAAGAAAAATGAAGCTTTGCACGCAAAGCTGTCATATTTGACCAACTAGGTTATACAAATCGGGGTTCTTTATATGGGCCTCAATGCACATTAGATGGATGTGATTAGGGCGCATCCTGATGAGTAAGGGAAAACACCTATTATTATTGTCTAAACATGTCTAAACTCTGGCTGTCGAAAACTATCATAGACCTCGCCTGGCTAGATGCTGTTCATTGCTGTTCCCATCAACAGTCGACGTCAGTTGTTTGGGGCTCAACAAATTCTTCCCCTTTACACCATGAACAAGGATCCAAAGTCTAGTTCACCTGGAGCCGGGAAGCAAAACTGAGAGGACCCCACCCGCAGGATGGTTTCGATCACCTCAATCATGTCTAGGTATAATTCCACATATCCCGTGGGAAAGGACATAAACATCTACCCAAACGAGGCAGAGTTTCGCACTTTCCACCAACATCTCACATGGTTTGATGGAGAACCTCCTAAATCTGTGATTACAGAAACATCATGCCTTGTTCCTCTTCGGTATATTTTCAGAGCCCACTTCAACAAGGCGTGGTCATCCTCTTGGAGCGTCCAACGACCAACAAAAACGATTCAGCAGCTCAGCTCCCCAGCGGCTCATGAGCTCCCGCTCACACGCCATCGCAGCCCGGTGGGGTGCGGTGCTCCGCCGGAATGTTTGTTGGCCGAATTTTGCCTATCGAATTGGCCGTCTGGCTGTCATGTTCGGGACGTGTGGTGTCTGTTTAAGGCCTTTCCCGAAACTGAAACGGTTTTCAGATCATACAGCCCTACAGCCCGACCCAAACGGTGGCCTTCCCTTCTTTTTACCACCTTACTCTCCTGCACATTGCGATCTGGATTTTCCCAACCATTCGGATGTTCCAGGGGTTCCACTGTCATGAGCTCCGCTCCGTTCGGTGATTTCGTAGGGAGACTTGGATTTCAGCTCCATGGAGGCTGAAACAGCATCTATAGCTGGGAATCACCCAAGCTGGGAAGGCGAGCAAGCTGGGCAGACTTGGGCAGGATGACCCTCATGGACGTCGACTTTTGGACCAAACGAGACTTGGATCAGAGACAGAAGTGTCGGATCGCACCCAGATTTCTTTCACTTGACCCCATGGGCCAGAGAAGTGTCTGTTACCAAGAATTCGATCTCTTGATGGGCGAATGCTCCAAATCCCGGCAGATCTGGCGCCATTGGACCGGTTTCATTGGAAAGCCAGAAATCACCATGTTCGACCTGAAACCGGTTGGAGCAGTCGACGGTGGCCTCGGACGTCGCTCCGACGAGACTCCACACGGGAGGGCCGAAAGAAATCGTCGGATCAACATGAGGAGACTCTGCATGGTCATTGGGAAGAGCTGACTCGCCCATGACCAACACTCTACACGGTCCCCTACCATGACTCACGGACCACGGTCCTTTCCATCGTCTCGCCACCCTCGTTTTCCGCCTGGACCTGGTCTCCAAGGGCCCACAAACGAAGGACAAATGCAAAGAGTACGGAAAAGAACTCGAAAACGTGGGCAAGACACACGGCGTTACCCCCTACAGTAAGAATCCCTAGTAGTGTGCACACTGGTTGGGGAATGATGTCTAAAAAAGAACACTTCTAGGGTTCTGGTTACCAGCCATCTGTGACAAGTATCGATTAGAAACGGTCCAAAGAAACAATACTGCTGTTTCATGCTGTTTCTCATCTAACTCTTGCTTGGTAAAACCTCAGGCATACTGCTGATTCAGAAACCATGAAAGCTGCTCGAAATGTCCCTCAAACGGACCGCAGGTCAGGCCTGGGAATGGCCTTTTGTCGGACAAAGATTGGCATGGAGAGACGTTCTGGCAGTTTGCAAGCGAGACCCTGCCAAAGAGGGGCAGGTGGTTTTCTAGGGAGGCCCTAAGGCACAACATGATGTCCTATCCTTTCGCACGTTCATTGGTGCCCAGTGCCTGCTTGATTCAGGCTCCCCCAAGCCCACGGGGGTTTTGAGTGGTCCCCAATCTTGAGACAACCAAATGAAGCCAAACCAATGGGATTGGAACAGTTACCTACATGGATGTATGTGCAACTATCCAGTCATATGGATGAACATGCTTGGCTCCACGTCAAACGACTTGTGAATCCAAGTCAACTTTGTTTGGACAGGAAGCGTGATGTTTAGAGGTTACACGACGTCATGTTTGTGCAAAAGGGTTCCCAAACTGTATACTAACATATATGATGATACATGTGATATGTCAATATCTAATTCTATCACAATATGTGATAGGCAGTTCTCATCTAGTTTCTGGTGGAGGTTCGCTCTTTTGCCCTCACATGCCAGCCTTCGTCCCGTGAAACAAACGGACACCGCGGCGTCAACACCGCGGCGTAAAGCAGGGCTCCGTCGGATCCGTCGGAAAGACCGGTTGCCATGGGAATTCCAGCGACACGGAAGCCTTCGTCCATAAGAATACCAAAGACCTTTAAATGTAAGAGTTCTCTTTGGACACCTCACCCTCCTCACCTGCCCCAGCCACTGCAAACCTGCGCCAAGGCGGTTTCAACGAGGTTTTGTGTTGGCATCGCCCTCAAGTCGAGCATCGCTGGCATCCTTGAAATACATTTAAACCGCCCTGCAGTAGGTAGACAGTGGACACATGTGGACACTCAAGAAAGCCACGTCGAAGTTTGGAGAATTGAGAATTCCAGTTGCACAGCCCAGTCAAAGAATCACTTGACAGTCAAAGCATGGTCATGCAATATCATGAATTTCAAAGAATTGACCTTTCCATGACCATTCCATAAACCACAAAAATGGCATGGTCAATGCGAAAAAAGGTTGACGTACCCTGCGGTGAAAGGCACCAAGGCCGGCCAGCTCGGCGCAGCTCAGCATACACCTATATTATATACGCATATTTATCTATATATGTATAGACCATGGAAGTCCAAGAGCATTTGTAACCTGGTTGTGCAGTGTAAAGACCCTTTAGCTGAAACAATAGTTTGTTTGGCAAAGACCTTGAAAACAATGGTTGTTGGACTCCCAGGGTATATACTAAGCATACTCCCGAGTGAGTAAAGAAGTCGCTCTCTGAACCACGGACATGTCGACAACCGAATCAGTGATCAACTGTCCAACGTAGACCTACAAGAGGTTGTTCATGGGGACCACGCCCCGTCCCGGGACGGTTTTTATCGAGATCACTCAGGGGCGAAGCGGCCTCCCCGCTCTTCACAGCTGCGAAGATGTGACTATTCCCACTTGATTCCCGCTGTCTCCGACTCCGGTCGAATCACACGGAAAGCTTTGTTTCCGTCACCAGCCACCACCCGGATCCTTCAGCATCGGGGCCTGACCGGGTCGGTTTTGGGTTCGGGCCAGCCAATCACTTCTGAGACGCACTGGGTGCGTGAAAGACTCATGGAATCGGAAGTGGCAAAATGGATGAACATGGCTCTGAAAGGATGAATAATCATACTAAACAGATAATACTACTAAACAAATGGTGCTTTTCCACGGCCATGATTCTTTAAGGGAGTATGGGCCCTCTGAAGGTCTAGAAATCTGATTTTGTGTTCTTCTAGAAGGATTGGGATGGATTGGGATCCCGAGACCTCCCAGTTCCAAAAAAAAGTAGATGGAAGTACTGATGGAAGTATATAAATAGTAGAATGATGTAGAATGATGTAGAATGAAATAGACAAAAAAACACATCAAAAGCCCAGTGGAGGACTCGCAGTGGACTGTTGAAATACACCGCCACCTGAACACCCAAACTTTCAAGAAACACCTGTGTCTTGGAGCCCGGCTCACTTGGAAGGCAAAATAGAAACACATGGCTAAGTTTACCAGGGAAAAAACAAGACATGGCTGTAGGTCGTGTCATGTCGTGTCTGATTCAAACGCCCCAATACCACCCAAAAATGAACCCATTAGTCCACATCATCTTGCGTTTTCTGTTTTGACCCAGTGCGCTTTTAAGGGACGGTGTTAAGAGCATCTTCACACTAAAGAAACGTACACCCGGACGTGCGGTCAACGCGGAGTTTTTGTTGTGCGATGCCGACATGTGCAAACATCTTAGCTGCGGGTCTCTGCACTGGGAACTTCAAAGTGCCTTAGCTTTATCCTTTTGCTTCGCACGATCACAACCGCTAACCCTCGAGGTACCTTCCAAGCACTATCCGTTTTGATCCCTTCTGATGTTGACCATCCTAACGTCCTCGCAAGGTTCTAACATGATTCGACAAACTCTGAGTGTAAAAGCATGGGTGGAAGAGTATGAAACTTCGCTACTGGTTCAGGGAGCATACCTTCGTTCTGCGGCGGTCATCTTGAAGAGGTGAAGCCATTCATTCTCTTAGAAAACGCCCAAAGTATCTGGCTGCATGCAGGATCTGCTGCATCATTGAACATCCATCAACATCGAACCGGGCCACGGCGGCCCGGTTAGGGAGAAGTCTTTTAAGAACGAAGCCTCCAAGCCGCTGGGGGGGCTTGTTAGATCGGCAGTGAGGACATCGTCTTTTGCAGATGTCTGAAGATTCACCGTTTCCTTTTGGTCGGGCCGCTGAAGAGGTGAGTTGAGGTTACAAAGAGATGTTCTTTTCTCGCGTGAAGAGCGAGAACATGTGAGAACATGTGAGAAACATTAGACAAAATCTTCAGTCTCCACTCACCATGTCTTATCCCTCCTCTGGGGGCGTTTTCGGACTCTCCAGCTGATCCACACCCCACGGCCTTGGACGTGCTCACAGCCGGTCTCAAGGGATACTCCTGGCGGGTCACTTGGCGCACGGTGCTGGGCTGCTGGTTGGGTCAATCTGTCTGTTCAAATGGATTGCACTAGCTCGGTCATGGCAACCATGCCCCCCCAAAGGTCACGAACATGGGAGTAGAACGAGGAAGATGGGAGTATAACTCCAAGTATCCACGCTTCATGGTCTAGTCTATACCTCGTCTTGAGCCGTCTGCATCCTTGAAAACCGGTTTTCCTCTCCAAGGCACCGAGCACCACAAAGAGGTCAAGATGATCATCAGATCCCCTGAAAAATGGACCCCTGCCCCGTCTTCGCCCGAGTGCACCGCACCCGACCGACCAACCAACCATCAGGGAACCGCTTAACCTGCCTGGAGATAGAAGGCGCTGGTGTCAAGGCCATCTGCTGCCTCGTTCGCGCACACGGTTTTGGCTGTGCCGCGCTTGAGGCAGACAGGCAGACAGACAGGCTGACATGCAGACAGTCCGCTCTGCGGTGTTTTTTGAAGCCCCTGCCCCTGCTGTGGTGTAGTAGCAGTTCGGCCGAGCAAAAGTCTCCAAAAGACACTCCGATCTCAAAGGTCCGTTTCTGGGATCTATACAGACATTTACAGTCAGCGTTCACCGCCCAAGTGTGTTCAGACGAATCTATGTGAGCGTTGGATCTTCACCTTGCTTTTTGCGCCAGCAGCCCGTGGCCCACCCACTTACATGCAAGCTTTGAATTCCACCCCGTATGGCAAGCTTTGAGTTCCACCGAAAACACTGGAACACTGGAACCGGGGAAGAAAGCTATTCCCCAGAAGGGGATTGAAAAAAGGGAAGAAACGCAGCACATCCACATCACTGATAAGCAAAGTCCTTCCGCCCGCCCACGGGACCGCGCCCGCCGGACCGTCCTGAGTTCCACTGGTCTCGTCCAGCTTTTCGGCCGCCTGGAAGAGGTCTGGTTTGATGTATGTGAGTCTGGTTGGTGTATGGTCGACGGTCATGTGAGGCTGTTGTGTTAGGACTCTGGCAGCATTGGCAATGATGGTCATAGGAGGCTTTGTTGACCTGTCTTGGACCAAACCATGGGTGACATCGAGCCCCAGACCGAAGCATGGAGATACCAAAGGCTCCAAAGAAGATGCGACATGTTTGGGATTTTGGCCAACCCAACCAAAACCATGCATGCAAATAGTACCTGGAAGCTTGGTAGAAGTTCTTAAGGCTATGAACTACCACTCTCACTGGCTTCGACCCGCTTCTGCCCCTTCTTCCCCCCACTCGCGCCCCACCCCGACCCCCTCTGTCTCCGCCTCTTCGGGCGCTTCTTGTGGCCCGGTCAAGTGGCACGGCAGCTTCAAGACGGAGCCATCCAAATCCACGCGCTTGCTGCCTGGACCGAGCCGAACCGAGCCGGGCCGAGCCGAACCGGATCCAACGACGGCGGCGGGATGCCGTGGTCGGAACGACGACGAGGAGTCGGGGGGTGAGCGATCCGTCGATGTGGTTTGTTTAAAAAAATAATTTTAAAAAAAGAAAAAAACTGCGGAAGCAAAGGTATGCTTCTCTGAACCCAGTCTTCTCCGTGTAAACCATGTGTAAACCAACAATTTCCCAAATGGGTTTGTTCCCACTCAGCGGTTCGTCCCCACTCACTGTGTTGATTGGTGCCGGTACCAAAAAACGCCACTGGAGCCGGTAGAAAAAGTCATGAAAGAAACAAAGGGAAGGACATCAATTGTTCCAACTGGAAAATGGATTGGATATGTGTGGAACACTTGATGGCTGTCAAAAGGTGATATCTCAGTTCTTTAGAACAATGTCCTCCTCATCCAAAGGTGTTGGGTTAGCCACTGCTGGTGCCTTGCGCTGATTCCTGGAAAGGAAAGTCAGGGACAAAGAACAAGACCTTGTGCAGATTGGGATTCCCTCGTGCCGAGAACTGTGAAGTTGCTCCAAAAAGTCCTTGTTCCCCAAGTGACCAGTATCAGTAACAAGCCAAAAACATATCAGCACAGCTAGGCCAGAGTAATTTGCTTGAGAATCCTCATCTACCACAGTTTTGACCACAAAAGCTCCAGGATAATGCTTCTACTACTCGTTCAGAAGAACCCTTCTGAAGGTTCCATGGTTTTGTCATCTGAGGGAGACTTGCAAGTGATTGTACAGCCTATATATATATACATATTTTTCGCCTCCTACGAAAGTTGCTCTGTTTCTTCGTTTTCAAAAGGCACCATCATTTCATGACGGAATGCATATACTCATTGTTTCCCCTAAAGGAACATGGGATCCAACTTGAGTTACTGTACAGAATTCTGATTCTGTCGTTGGCTCCCCAAAAGCCTTGCAGAGTAAGAAGCTTCAATATGTCGAAACAATGGAGTTGGGCTCATTCCAACATGTCCGGATTGAGACTGCCCATGTTTCATGCAGAGATTCATAGTCGATGACGCAATGTTCCATCCAATCATGAAACAGTTGGAACTTCCTCACAGGTAGTGAAGGTTTCGATGTTGCCCATCCCTCATCTAACTCATTTGCATCAATGTTGCGTCAAACTGCTAGTGTTTCATAGGCTCCATTCGTATACAATTATGTAATATAAGTAATATATACATGTATACCCGATGACATTCCACGTACGCCATATTTACCTACATTGTGGGCATATGTTTCCATGCATGGAGTGTTTGGTATATGGTCTACTGATTTTCACAGAATCTGAGGCAAACCACCCGGTCAATCTCGTTCTCTCTGCCTGGTACTGGCCGTGCTCCTAGACCCTCGCCCTCGTAGCTGAGGAGGGGTGAGACCTGGCAGATGGAATCGTCGGAACTCCCCCTTCCAAGCCACAGAGATCCCAACAAATGAGAAGCCCTAGGTTGGAGTCGCTGATAGGTCTGATGATGTCTGATGATGTCTGATTTGGCATCTGCTCAGTCTGCTCAGACACCGACTATGGACATATCTTCCATAACATCAGGCTTCTATAGGGTCATAATAACCCCTCCCCCCAAAGACCCCAACATATGAATGTGATTTCAGTGGATTTCCAGTTCATCTTCCATGACTCGGTCGTTTTCTGCGAATCATCGAAGAAAGTTCTTCGATCACAACAGTAAGACCAAAGCCCGACCCAGTTTCTCGCATTTTCTCGCTCTGTTTATGAAGAAAAGATAAGAAACGGTTGTATGTGCCCTACAAAACATGTTGACGTGTTGGAGCAGCACTTCTGCTCTTGCATGGATTCTCGTGGGGGGTTTCAGTCCATGTGTTTTTTGATAAGGAGTCCAGAAGCATTTCTGCAGAGCAGTTCGGGCCAATGGTTGGGGGATTGCTTGAATCATCTGACCAAGAATTCAGTTATACCCCCCCTCAATTTCCAAGGCTCTTGGCTCAATGTCCAAAACATCGGGACTTGAGTCAGGGTGGTACTTACTCCAACCCTTCATGGAGGCGCGCCGTCGGGACGCGCAGCGTAGGTGCCGTCCTTGGTTTCGACCTCCACACCTCCGACCATCCAAGGGGTCTCCAATAAACCTGAGACTTCAGCAACCAACGACATAGATACAACTACCTGGACCTACCTGGAGGGGTGTCCAATAAAGATCCCTGAGAAAAACAAGGTGTGGCTTGGACTTCCATTGGATGGTCCTGCTATACGTAGATGAACAAATTAAATACTCAGTGATCTACTCAGTGTTTTTCCTGATCTAGGATCCAAAAAAATCTCAGAAGTCATCAAATCTACCAGAAAACCGCAGCTTGCCGCGAACCGGGAACGCAGCTCGTCTACTTTTTGGGACCCTTCACGCTAACGATACAAACCTGGACCTGGCCCTTCCCTTCCTGCAGCTGGTGAGGTTCTGACAGGGACCCTCGTGCCATCTCCCTGTCCTTCCCATCGATCCTCACTCTAGTTAGTGGCTTCAACCTTGAAAAACATTTGCAATCATCAAAGCCACGGCTGCAAGCACCAAATTCATTGAAACGTCCATCTTCAAACCAAATCATGTCTACAGTACTCTCTTGGCTGACAGCCCTCTTGCCTGACATCACCTGACAACCCACCCCCCGACCGAGCCGACCGACCGCACGGTGTCCGAGCCGACCCGAGTTGGCCTCCAAGGTGTCCGACTCGTTCGCTTGCTCTTCGATGGTCCCACCCGCTGCGCGGACCCACCTGGGGAAAGGACGGAGTCGGTCGGTCGAAAGGTCAGGTCGAAGAGGTGGCTCGGATTGGGAGATGTTTTTGGGTGCACATGTGGTGTTTGTTCAGTGAATTGTGGCCCAAAGATCACCCAAACATACCAAAACCGCGTCCGGTGCAGGTCTAAAAGCTTGGGCCTGTCGAAGGTCGGGCGGGAACCGATTCTGCCCCACACCGTGCTGCAGAAGTTCCTCTGGTTTCCCTCCAACCAACATCATGGCCTCCTGCCACGTGCCTGTGCCTGGGGTCATGGCGCAGCTTTGCACATGTTTGTATCACGGATGGCGGACCAGGGCCCGCCAAGGGTCAGTGGCGCATGAGAACCACTTCTGGTTCCACGAACCGCCCGAGGCCGCAATTGACCCATCTGAGAGCCCCCCACGCACAGTGCAAGCGGTGCATCGTGAGCCTGGATCAGAATCACATGAACTGTTCGAGTGATGCAGTTTCACTGGGCAAGCCAGGCTGTCCCAGAAATCGTGTCCAATAATATGGTCGTTTGGCTGGGTTGCAACTGCATGAATAATGATGCCTCTTGCGATTGAGAGTATGAAGATGTATGAAGACTTATGGCTCAGTTTGCCAAAGCAGTGACGTCCTAACACCTGCGAGTCCAAAAGAATGTCCTCTCATCACCAGAAAAAGGATATATAGACAAGGTCCATACTTGGAACAATATGAAAAAAAAAAACATGGAAGAGACTCACCGTTCAGACACTGCTTCCTCGGCGCACCTGGCGGCGTCTGCCGTGTGGCGGCCTTTGATGTCTCGGACTGGAGCCCATTCCACCTCGCGGCTGACCTGGCCGTGCATCAAGGCGGAACGGGCGTTGAGACGAAGAGCTGGGCACCTCGAAGAGCTGACTTTGCTGGTGAAGGATGAATTGATGATTATGATGAATGGATGAGTGGATGAGTGGATGATGACTGGATTATTAGTGGATGATGAGTTTTATGATGAGTGGATGATGAGTGGATGGTGAGTGGATGAATGGCAGTGAAACGACAGGTCAACCACGGGTGGACCATTTTGTAACCAAGAAGTCAACGAACCGTTTTGGGAAGATCCACACCATGTTACGATCGGGTGAACGCCGCTAATGGGCGTTTTCTTCCCAAGTGCTTATTAGAAGATACTACGTAGTAAAAATGGAAAAGAAGCCAAAAGGATGCCTAAAAGGATGCCTCAAACACCCTCAAACTTCTAACAGGCTTGGAAAAAGAGACCTCCACATCGGTGTCCACCGTAGAATCGCTTGGATCCTTCTTCGATCCGCCGGCGTCACAACATGAACCAGGATGCCTTGGCCATGTTTCGTGCCCTTTCAAAGGCCCAAGAAGAGGCACTTGGTTCAAAGCACGGCATTGGCGGCATAGCAAAAAAGACACAACAATTCAAGCATACCGGTACCACCCAACTTCAGGTGGCTTACAAACAATCACCCCTGAACATCACGTGTTCAATAACCATCCAAGCTGAGTGGTGCTGGCATAGAGATCACCCCCAAAAAAAATACCCTGCTATAGGACATATTAGGACATCATTGCCACCTCCAGGTCGCGACCAAACCCTTGCGGTCTTCGGGGCCTTGAAGGCGACCGCTCGGTCGGTAAAGGCGAAGTAATCCAAGATCGAGGACTCCAAGACATGGGCATTGGCCTAGCTCGATACCACGAAGGTAGGCCAATGGGATAAGTCCATATTGGATTTGGGGATCACCTTGGAGAACTACTTACATAGATCATAAAGCGGTACTCCCATCACATACAGTAACCAACAATGCGCTGGATTTCGTTGAACTCTCCAAACGTCCATTGGCGGAGTAGCAGAGTACTGTCTCGCCCGTTCTTGCTGGTCGAGTACTTGACTTCTGCCGCGCGGTGCGCATGTTTTCCGGTGAGTGGCTCCGTCGATAAAGCCCGTCGAGGGTAGCTGGGCTAGAGGCCACCATTACAATATGAAGAGGATTTCTAATCCAATGGGAAGTTTTGATGATGTTTCAATAGTTCAATATGGTCTACAGATCAGGGGCCTTTTTCAGGAGGCTTTCCAGTAAAGACCGGGGATTCCTCTGTGAGACGTTGATTACCTTGATCACCTTCCTCTTGAAGGAAAACGCCGAAAACGACTTCGACCGGGAAGAAAGTCCGCCGTCGAACGACGTTCCATCGCTGCGTTTCTCCGGTCGCTTCGGGTTTGAGAAACAGCCGATCGAGAGGACCGAGAAAGCAGGCAAACTCATGAAGTCGAAAGCGGCGACCGATGTATGTTCTGAATTCATGCTCATTCTGAGACAAGAATGGCATGGCCCAGGGATTGTTTGGGTCACATCAACTCCAAGTTGGATTCAGTCTGTTGATTGGCGATTTGGGATTGTTAAACAGTGTGCGATCCTGAAACAAGCTCCTGCTCGATACTCACGGACATGTCCAATGGATCCAGCCTTGCTGGGCACGACCAAGCTACACCTGTGGGTTTCGAGGTGACGGGCTCGAAGAGTCATGACATGTCATGACCTATGTACCCAATGGGCTCCAACATGCTCCAACTAGCTCCTGAGAAGGAGTAAATACCTTTGGAGCGAGTTGGAGACCTGGAGAGAGCTTGGATGAAAGTACTGGACAGGCTCTTGGATGGCGAGGCAATCCGTCTTTTTGAACTCCAAACCTTGGCGCTTAATATGACAAGGGCGATGTCACCTCAAAAAGTTGAAGCCTTGTAGATCAAGTGATCATCTGATCGACTGAAGTCTGCATCGAAGATGTCCTTCATCACCGAAAGTCACATCAAAATATTTACAAAGTATGATAAGTTCACATCACATCACATCTCACCCTTCCAAACCACAAAAGGGAACCTGCTTCATCCTGTCTCCTATCTCAGCTTTGACGAAGCCTTCGACCAGACCGTGCCTCAACAAGGATTGCTCGCTCATGGCACTCCTCAAGACCTGGAGCGTTCGGCTCTTCGTCGAGCGCTTCGGAGCGGACGTGGAAACCAGTTGGGGACGAGCGTTCTCGGTACGAGCACGACAGGCCTGCAGACTGCAGGCCTGGAACGACAGCGCCGGAGCCGTCTGTCATGACGTCCGTACGTTCCCAAGGTTTCTGCTGCACGTAGTGAGAAAACGGGGGCAGTTCCCTTCTGAATAGCTAAGGAAACTGAGTTCTTGTGCCAAAAAGAGACATCAACTTCAACTAAGCCTGGGCGCTAGGAGGGGTCTGGTGGAATTCTGCTGGTGGGTAGTAGAACCAGGTCGAATCTTCTGAAAAACAGTAAGATAGTTCAATGCCTGTCTTGGATGAGGGAGCCCAATTGACCACTTGCGTTGGTGCTGGGTCATGGAAGATGCATCTCCCACAAACCTTTTGAAGAAACAGGATGAGTGCCGAGTTGTTGCGAGAAAAAGGACCCCGGGAAGGCTTTCACTGACTCCAGCAGCTGCGCAGCTGTCCCAATCCCATCCCCTGCCTTTCCAATCCAATCCCAACCCCCCTGAAACGCTAGCTGAATGGTGTTTGAAAGTCATTCCGAACACTTCTCTGGCTCTGGACATCACTGAATCCTGCTTCAAACCAAAAACATCGATCCATCTGACCTCACCCTCCCTCTCCCAGTAGTCAGTTAATACATGTCTTCGGACTTCTCATCGTTTCCTCCGCACCTCTGCCCCGGCAGGGCCGCCCAAAGAGCTCGGCACTTGCCGAGGGCCTTTGGTCGCCTCCTTCACGCGCACCACCTCCGGCCGCGACCGGGCAGGTCCGACCCGCGTTCGACAGCGGATCCGGGTTCGGGGTGCCGGTTCGTGGTGGGCCCTTTTGGAAGGTGCCGGCCAAAGATGAAGTTGATGTCTAAGTGGACCATCTGGATCCATCTGGTAAGATGGGAGTAGGATCCCTCAGAATCCCTCATATGATTTAAGACATCGGTGAGATGCCAAGGTGAGTGAACTGCCAAGGAGATTCCCGTTGAGGATTTGTTCCTGAACGGATGGCCGATCTTCAGTTTTGTGGCAGTGGTTAACAGCACAGCATGAAACTCAGCATCCCATTCAGCCCATTAAGTGCAATGAGCCAGCAGTTAACTCCCGGGGAATTTGGCTTCAGGATGTAATCTTGCTTGCTGACATCTCGAGGAGAAGAGCTGATCAATGGTTGGATTTGTGGTTATTTTCGGGTGTTGCTCAAGCGTTGCGTAATATGTGTGTAGACGCACTAGCAAGAGCGTCTGCCAGCGCGCCGTTTTCACCTAAGGCGCAGCACGAAATGGCTTCAGGCCTTGATCCAAGCGAACATGAACAACCATGTTCCTCCGCCTGCCCAACACCGAAGAGCAAACTCAACTTTCACAGTTCATCCCCTTCTCTTGTGGCATTTGAGGGGTTGGGCAACGGCTGAACACGGTCACGAGCAAAGCAACAGGCTCCTCAAGCATCGATCGAGGATTCTGGAGCTCTCGCATGTCGACAGAGTCTTCCAACTGTCGCCAAATCACACTATGTTCGCTGTCAAAGCGGGCAAAAGTGGAACGAAACGCATGTGTCGTTCTTGAACAGCGTGGCTCTGGGGTCCTGTACGAACGAGCCTGACGGCACACGTTGACGGCCAAATCTTCATTCAAAACATGCCAACCTGAGCTCTGTGAGAGCTTCATCACATGGCCAAACAACGGGGAGGAGCTTTCAAAAGGGACTCCCATGTCACTTCTCACCACCCTTCCGGTCTGTTGTGAGTTAGCCATGGGCTTCTTACTTTTGGACGTCTGTTTGACGTACTGGGAGGAAAACTGTACACACCACTTGCAATCTCTCAGGATCTTGTGAAGGTGTTGAGGGTCAAGCTCCTTAGTGCCGCAGTCTACGATCATGTTCTCTGTTGCTGTCCAACGCATGCTCGTGTTGCATCGAGCCAGCATTGAACGAATCCAGCTTATGGTGAAAGCTAAACTCTTTTGGCTGCCATAGCTCGGCGTTTCTGAGCAGGATTTGTCGAATGCATCCTTGGCGTCGGTGACAACCAACAGGGGCACGGAATCCGTGCTAAGGTCAAAGGGCTTCCGGTCGAGTGGATGACCGAAAGCTTCGCCAAGCACGCCGCGGCAATATTGCCCGGCATCCAGCGCCTCCTCAATGCCCAGCAACTCTGCGGCAAATGTCGATCTGCATACCCGGTTCAGTCTATGAGACCGGGCGTCCAACACTGTGAACTTGCCTTCTCTGCCGCTCATGAGGTTTTCGTCAGCAATGAGGGCAAAGTAGGCGGCTTGACTATAGACCTTCTTGATGGCTGCTTCGTGGGAACTACCGCTTTTCGTCACATTGCCAAGCGAGGCATCAGAAACAACGAGGATCCCAGCATTCTTCATGTCCAAGGGCTTGAAGTGCAGAGCGAAGTCTGCGTGGAGCTTTGCCTTTCTAACTAAGGCGTTGGCGCGGATCAACGTCTCGATGGTCTGGGAAGCACCCTGCAATGTCGACAACTGAAATTGCAAGTCAAAGCGAACTTGCGCTACCAGCCACTGCAAACTCCCAAGGAGAGCTCTGAGCTGGCGTTGTTCCCCAGGCATCAAAGTAGCTTCTGGATTCTTCTTTCGAAGTGGGTTGGTGCGCACCTGCTGAAGATTGCTATGGTACTCTTCCATGGAAACTTTCACTGAAAAATCTTCAGCTTGCTCAATCTTCTTTCCACAATAGGTTATGGTTCCGGTGGAGGTGGAACCAAACCCAAGTTCGGCACCCAGCAATTGCAAGGTGTGGTGCGCACGAGGGCCTCCGGCCAGTAGCAAGTCATCCACGTGGGAGATGAGGATGCCTTCCAATTTGGAGCCTTCCCACAGGAACCACATGGCCGAATCCAGAGCTGAAAGTTGCCAACCATGGTGTTGTACTGACTTGCATAACCTCTTATACCAACGACGAGGGCTGTCAGCTAAGCCAAATACTCCCTTTTTCACACGGCATAAGCCTGCTTCAGAGAATGGTAGGCGTGGCTCATCAGGTGCTCTGGTCTTCACGTTGGCGAGGTAGAGGATGCGTTCATTGGGGCCAAACTCTTCACCTTTCATGAATGCCGACTTGATGTCAGCACTTGCCAGCTTCCACTTCATACTGGCGGCAAAGGTCAGCAAAAGATGCTGAGAAGTTCTCGACGCTGTTGGAGCATCACAGCGAAGGCCATATGCACTAATGTCTTGGTATCCGGGGACGACCAGCCTGGCGTTAGCCTTGAGTGGAAGGTCCCGGTCTGCCGTCCTCAGTCCGTCATTCTTGTCCACATAGACGAAGCGAGGAACCAAGATGCGGTGGCTTTCACCTTCTGTCTTCAACTTCTGCCTAATGCGGGCAGCTTCGGCATCTGGAAGAGGTTCGATGGCTTCATTTTCAACCCATACTGACCATCCTTTGGCTGCTGCTTCACGGAACTCCTTTTTCTCAAAGTCCGACATGTGACTCCATACATGCTCCTTACGAGCAGTGAGCACTGCAAGCACTTCCTGAGCAGCATCATCATTGCCAAGGGGCCAAAGTTGCTTCAGCATTTGCCGTCGTTTGAATTCTGTCCTCGAGGGGAGAGGCCAATTGCCACGCCATGTCCCATGGTCTCGGACTCTGGCTTCCAAGGGATTTAGACGATCCTGTTCTGCCATGATCTGGATCTGACGGAGCGGATGTACATTGGCATAGGCTTCCATTTCCATCACTTCATGAGTCACTCTCAGGGCTTCGGAAGCTTCATCAGGAACTTCATCTGGAGGTTGAACCGGAGTTGGAGCAACAGGGTCTGGTTGAAGAGCTTCTTCACGCAAGCGCTCAGCATCCAGTTCAGCAGGCCTCTTGGAAGCTTGTGACTCGCCGCTAGCACTTGGGGCGGCACTGGAAACGCTCTGCCGTCTCTGTTCAAAGGCAGCTCGTACAGCTTCAGGAAATGGAGATGTACCTAAGTCTGGCAAAGAAGAAGTATGTCGAGACCATCCTCTTGAGATAGGACCACCTTGAGCATTGCCGAGGGCTTGCACAAACTCTTGAGGATGTAAAGGTGGTAGATCGGCAGGAGCTTCTTCAGGTACGGCCGAAAGAGGAACAGGTTCAACAGGTAGAGACACTCCCGTCATTGGTTCACCCTGTGCTTCGGGTTCAGCCGAGGTGGTTGTAGATGAGGAAGTCGTTGGTATCTGTCGATCATGGTACGCCGCATCGATGACTTCCTGAATGGCATCTTGCCATACCTCACTCGCGACTTGTTCCAGGGAACTGGCTGGTCTCAAATGCTCAATGGCGCACTTGGTCAGTTGTCCTCTGAAACTCACATATCCATTCACATTGCCCTCCAAAGCGACGAGGAGGGCAGGGCCATGCCATCGCTTGAGACTGAGGCGTTTCTTGGATGCAGCTGTTCGGTTGTTGAACCGAGTTTGCCTGAAGAAGTAGACGATATCTCCAGGAGATAGGCCATGCTCTGCCGTCGGTCCTCGAGAGCGGGCTAGTTCAGCTCGTCGAAGGCCTTTGGAAAAATGAAGGCGCACCATCGCCAAGCGAGCAGTCTCTCGCATGGCAACTTGTCTGGCCAAACTTGGCCGAGAGTCGATGAGTCCATGCTCACTCAAGCGGCGACCAAAATCACCAAGGCAATCTCCGTGCATCCGGGGTTGCTTTCCAAAGGCAGCTTGCATAGGAGAGACACCAGCGTCGTTGATGTCCGAGTTGTAGGCGCTTACTGCCTCCTGGAGACAAAGTTCAACATCATCTTTTCCCAAGGCCGAATGAGCCTTGATGCACGAACGAAGAGTGCCCTTCAGGATAGCGCCACCGCGCTCACATACACCATTCTGCCAAGGGGCTTGGACCGCGGTGTGGTGGAGGTAGATGCTCCATGAACTGCAGAACTCTTCAAACTCAGCAGACACGAACTCTTTGCCCTGATCTGCTATCAGGACTCTTGGTGCTCCCAAGATGGGTAGCCACCTGGTCTTGAAGAAGCGCTCCACCATGCTCGAACCTTTTGTTTCCAAAACTTCAGCAAACTGCAGCCTGGAGACATAGTCAATGGCATGGATCACATAGAAGCGCTTTTCGCCAATGTCTTCAATCTCAAAGAGGTCCACATGGACCTGGTCGCCCACATCCTTGGGTAGTGGCAAGGTAGCAGGCCGTCGGGCCTTTGGGATCTTCCGCTCGTCGCAAATTGAGCATTTGAGGTGACGAGCAGCATGGATGATGTCCGGAGGGGCACCAGTGATAGCCAGTGCTCTGGCTAGGCGAGGGCCAGATCGGTGGCCCGTGTTTTCATGTAGGCGTCGAAGAGCTTGCTTCACAGCAGCTGACACCTTGGGTCCAGTGACAGCTTCAGTGGACTCCTGATCAGAGTCACTCAGGTTCATGTCAATCGGCAGGGCGGTCTCATCTTCAGCCTCCTCACCGCCTTCGATGGCAAGGGTGTTGTGTGGTCTTTTGAAGTCAGCTTCAAACTGCTTTTCCATTCCAACCACCAGGGCCTTGGCGAGGGCCCACGGATAGTGGCCAGCGGGCTCTGAAACAGCTTTTCCCCCAATGATGTGACCATGAGGGTGATTGCCAAGACACTTCATGCCGTCCAGTTGGGAAAGGATCTCATCACTCGAAGTGGCTATCCTCGTAGCTTTCCGAAGTAGGTCACCCGCCTGGTTCTTCAAGCGGAATCGGCACTGGTGGAAGACTACACAACGGGCCTCAAGTTGCTCCAAGGCTCTTTGCATCTCTTCCAGGGTCCATGCTCTAGAGGATTGAGGGTTCTCCAAAACAAAGTGACAACCACGACTCTTCTGGTCCTTGGCCAATTGGAGGGCGAACTGCAAGAGGGTGATCGCTTCCTCATACATCTGGGTGCCATTCTTCGGAGGGTTGAGGTTGAGTAACACACTCCAAAAGGAACAAGGAAATGCCAGCACCAAAAAGAAAGGACTTTCACGCTTCAGGACGGCTCTGGCAGCTGTGCGATCCAGTGGACGGAGAAAGTTCCATCCTGATTCCAAGCTCATTGAGGCTCCCACTCGATGTCCTCGTTTGCGAGCCGTCTGCGCAACTCGCTCTGTGTTTGTGTAGACCTCAGTGACAAAGGTCTTGGGGAAGCGGTCATTCTCAACAAGGTCGGGGTTCTTTGAAATCAACCTATTCTCAGACATGGCATGGGACTGAAAAGACTTCTCATCGCCAACGGTGAGGGTGGTGACAAAGATCTCGTTCTGGAAGTGGTCCATCGCTCGATGCCACTGCTCCTCATAGACTTCATTCACTTCCTTGGCACTGAGCGACACAAGGCGACGGTCTCTTTCATGACGCTCCCAAGCATCCGAAATCATTTTAGCCTGACCAGGTTTCACCGCCTGATGTATCCTCCAAGGATTCGTCTCCAGCTCGAGCATCGGTCTCACTGGTCGCGAGGAGGAATTCCATTGGCCTGGCGCCACTCCAAGTCGTCCTGGTAGTAGTCGCGGTTCATCTGTTGAATCTCGTCTTGGGTCCAGCCGAAGTCCATGGTTGCTTCGGTTTCCATCGGACCGGAAGTCATAGGTCCTGGCAGGTGCGATGCTTGGTGCAGGGTCGAAATGCTCTGGAGCACTTGGTTCAGCATCCCTTGGAACTTGTGGTCCTGCATGGTGAGGACTTCCTGTAGCTCTTGAGCGGTCACTCCAGGAGATGCCTTGGCCTTCGCGCCAATTGTCTCGGGCGCTTGAGAAGGTCTCGCCATTGAAGTCTCGGGGACATGTCTTTCCGTTGAACTGGTAGATCCACTTGCCTTCGAGGGAGTTGGCTTTTGAGCAATCTCGGCAACCAAGGGGCGGCAAGCTTTCTTGAGATCTTCCACAGTCATTCCAGTCTGGACGGGGATGTTCAGGAGTGAAGCCAGTTTCCCAGGTCTGCCTTCAACGTTGGCAGGCCTCCCTTTGGGCCGATGAGGGAGCGCACCATGTCGTGCTTCTCTCCACGCTTGGTAGCGGCCTCGGCTTCGCGTTGGGCTTCCTGAATGGCATCCCGCTTCAATTGGGCCGTCAGGCCTTTGCTGGCGCGCGCCGCAAGCATTCCTTGCAACATGTTGTCCTCCACGAAGGCGAAGTTGAGGCCAGCACGGTTCCTGAATTGTCCCAAGTCCAGGAGGTTCTTGGTCGTGTACACTGACGGTTCTTGGGTTCGAGCTCGCTGCCAGTGCTTGACCATCAATGCCTTTGGCTTCTGGAGGGTCATAGATTCGGCTTGTTCTTGCCAATGTCTGGTATGGCTGATGCTGGGGTACGGAAAGGGCGCGTACCGCAGCTGCGGACGAGGCAACAGCCATAAGAGCAAGCCATGTGCGTGCCAAGCGGCCTTTGCGCGAAGGCGGAGAAGCATTCGCCGCCAGCGCAGCACCACCTTCGTGTAGTCGTTCTCGGTCAGGTCGAAGTGCTGGGCCGCTTCCATTACGATCCACAGATCCTGCGAGGGCTCGAAAGGTCGTCGAAGAGGATGTCGTCGGGGCTGAAGGACGTGTTTGAGCCACCTTCATAGCTTGAGCCCCGGCCGATGTCGCAGCAAGGATCGCATGCTCTGTCACAAGGTGCTCATGCGGTGCTTCGGAGGTTGACTCAAAAGGCACTTCAAAATGACTCATCTTCAATTGCAACTGTTTCTTCCAAAAATCAAAACTGTTCAACTGAAGTTCAACTATGCCGTCTTGTCCAAGTTTCCGCCAGCGTTGGGAGTCCGGACGAGGCCATTGGCGTGGCTGGAGTGGAAGGGCGAAGTGGCCTGCGGCCAGCTGACCCAACTCCAAAAGTTCGCCACCCACCAAGTCAGCTCTCAGTAGCTTGCGGCCGAACGAAAGGACCGCACCGATAGCGCTCAAAAAGTCTCTTCCCAAAAGGAGTCCCAACGATGGCACTGGCACTATTGACACCCACACCAAAACCAAAGTCGAACCCAGGGCCATAGGGAGTCTGTACCTCACGGTGCTTCTTTGGGTACCACCATTTCCAAACCTGAACAACTCATTCTCGGGGGTGGTGATGATGAGGTTCTGGATATAGGAAGGAGCACGTTCGAGGGCTTGGAGGTAGAAGGCCAACCATGAGGAACCTGCACATGTTCTATTGCAAGCACTATCCAAAGCTCCAACGAATCTTTTGTCTTGCGCGAGACGTGGAGTGTTCTTGGGGTCGGTATGGTGCTGCATGAGGACTTCGAACAATGGGCGATCCCATGAATCGCCGGCGGCCACTGTCATGACCTCGTGGCCCATGTCATCAGGTTCTTCAGGAGCCACATGTTCAGTGTTCAGGGTCTCGGTGACACGGACCTGCTTCGTCATCTGGCTCTTAGGCTTTCCTTTGGGTCGAGCCAGGCCAGCACCAGGGGCCTTGCAGCCTGCATCACCAGCCCAGTGTCCCATCTCACCACAATCGAAGCACTTTGTAGTGCTCTTTTGGCGAGGGACTTGATTGCCATGGGGCTTCGTCGAACGAGGAGCCGGTTGGCCAGGCTTTCCATATCCACGGTCTTTCTTGACCTCAGCTATTTTGGTGCGTGCTTCACGCATTGTCAACAGACTCTCTGCGGCCTGTTCCATGCCGCTCTCCAAATCTTCAAGCACTCGAGGGTCGCAACCTTCAGTCTCGAGCTCCTGCAGCTCTTGGGCAAGAAGCTCAGCTTCGGTCTGGAGGACTTCTTCGATCGTCGGGTTCTCAGGAGAGTAACCCTGACCATCATCGTCTGGAATCAGCTCTTCATCTTCCGCCTCCATCTGGCCTTCCTCTTCAGGGGCCTCGGCAATCAAGGCTTGTCGAGGTTGAGGCTGCTGGCCAAAACGCTTGAAAGGTGGCCGGCTGGAACCAGAGCTCTGAGTCCGGAAGGAGCGAGAAGAGGGAGCCGTCGAGCTGGCTGTAGTCGAAGGCCTGTAGGACGAAGAGGAGCTGTGTCTGTCATGAGACTGTAGGAAACGCTGGAGTAGTGGTGCCTTGTCAAAAGGTCGGCTCTTGTTCAAAGGGTCGGAGGAGTGCAAATCTCGAAACAGACGAAGGCATTCTGATTCGACCACATCATAGTTCTCCCGACCAGCCAATGCTGTCTCCAGCAACTGCTTCCTGATTGCATCCAGTCCCAAACGTTCTTTCAACATCCAGCCTAACTCCTCCTCTGGCATCACTATGCCTTCCCGTTTGAGCTCAGCTGCAAGTGTCCGGAATCTCGTGCAAAATGCTGAGATTCTCTCTCCAGGGCTGCGTTTGATTTCTTGATAGTAAAGGGATCGGAGTTCTCCCTTTCTATCCAAAGCTGTCTTCCCAACCGTGGCCTCCAAGGCAGTCATGAGTTTCTTGATGCCTGCAAAAGGGTCTGCAGCAACCCGAATCACTTTGTCACCGGTGTCAGGATCGGTCATGGCTTCTTCCTTGGTCCCTTCAAGATCCTGGGGATCGAATTCTTCACAACGAGCCCTGACCACACCATATTGTCTAAGTGCCCATCGGGCGGCAACATTGAACTTCTTGCAGGATTCTTCATCCAGCGAAGCCATCCACCAGTTCATCTCCCGGCGGAACTGTCGCCATTCCGCCGGGTTGCCCGACCACGTCGGCACCCGGTACCAAGAGCTGGTGCCGGATTCTTCTGCTGAAGTCATCTTCACGGCCAAATTGGCCAAAAACAAAAGTGAGGCTGCTGCAAGGTGTTCAAGGAGCTCCGCAAGTTCTGAAGCTCTCCAAAGAAAAGGTGGTCTTAGACCGAAAGTGAAGTTGCGCAACAATGGTAGGGCCCAAAGCAAAAGGTGGGTCTATGTACCCTCAAAGGTCACTCCAACAAGGCACTGCTCGGCGGCAAGGGCACAGTGAAGTGGTTCAAGAAAAAGGTGTCCACAAACAAGAGAATCTAGTTATTCTCAAAAGGTTGGCACCGACCACGAAGTCCAGAGCGTCTGGCTCGAGGTCGTGTGGAGCAGCCCAGAAGCTTAGCTTGAAGGCCACGAAGACGAGGAGAAAAGAGGCAAAAGCGAGGCGAAGCAAAGCAAGCAACGGCGGAGTGCAATGCCCAGATCGAGATAGGCTCCGGTGCCACTGTAGACGCACTAGCAAGAGCGTCTGCCAGCGCGCCGTTTTCACCTAAGGCGCAGCACGAAATGGCTTCAGGCCTTGATCCAAGCGAACATGAACAACCATGTTCCTCCGCCTGCCCAACACCGAAGAGCAAACTCAACTTTCACAATGTGTGACCTTCGAGAACATCGTGCAGAGACTCGAGAACATCATGTACCACGGTCTCCCGTGCAACATGCCATTTGATGCGCAATCCGTCAAGATGGTCTTGCCAGCTCCATCCAGACATTCAATCCCCTGAGACTCCGAAAGGCTTGAGGGCCCGACAGGCTTTGGAATCAAGGACGCTACGAACGGGGCTCCTGGCCTTACTACTAGGAACAATCTTTGCTGTTATAAGAAACAAAAAATAAAATAGATCTTAATTAGAATTAGAATTGTCTTGTCGGAGCTTGAGGGCCCGACAGGCTTTGGAATCATCCTTTTTTGCTCTATCCGCCCCGTGTTCTCGCCGGGCGGCTGCGGCTGCCCCGACGGCGTCCAGGTGCACGTCGCAACGGCAAGCACCATCCTCAGGGCCTTAGTGGATGGATGTGGATGGAAAATGGTCCGAAGAGATCTTCCGGTTTTGGAAAATCATTGTTCAGTTGATTTCAGTTGGCTCTTTTTCCCCGCCCTTACTTACTTAAATGAGTAGGCACCGGCACCGACTTAATTAAGTGAGGGAGAAGTTCGCTCCTAGCTAGGACGCGGGATAGCTCATGCTCCTGATTTGGTTCCTAGATTTTTTGGGCAAGATCTGATGTAGCTGAAGGACGTCCAGTGGAACTTGTTTCTGTAGCTGAAGCAAAAAGGTCTTGATAGTGGCTTATGTAGGGTTGGCAACAAACTACCTTTGGGCTGGATGATCCTGACTCAATTTTAGAGGCGGATGTCTTGAACCAACTATGATCAGCTCGGAATTCTACACTTCACGATCAAAAACATCACCCCCCTTCGGGCGGCCCCAAATCGCGAACAAAAAGAACCAAAAATTTGAAATAAACAGAACCTCCAAGTGGAACGCTGCAAGCCATAAAGGCGTTAGTTAGGCCCCAAATCACCTTATACCTTCCATCACTGGGCAGAAAAAACATCATAAATGTTCACCCCTCCTCGGGGGGGCGGGGCGGGGCGGGGCGGGGCCCCCCAAAAAGCTTCTCGGTGGCCCGTGCCCAGCTTCTGGTGCGCGCGGATCTCCGCGGCGGCCGCCAGCAGGGCTCGCTGACAGGCCAAGTCCACGGAGACCACTTCCGAAGGCCACGACCTGAAAACAGTGCACAGATGGTGCGCCCAGATGGTGCGCTGAAATGGGCTCAGATCCAGATCCTGAAGCATGTTGGTTTATGGCTTTTGGTATTGAAGGTTTGGACACTGGGATCTTCAAGATCCTGAAGGTGCCGAAATCGGAAGTTCTTGGATCTTGGCACTTCGAGGTTGAGGAAAAAAACAGCTTGGACTCTAAGACTGCCCACGAAGCCCACAAAGACCTGCAAACACCATTTGCATCGACAAAAACCGCTCAGCTTGCCACGCCATACCCAGGCCGCTAGCTTTTCCGGACCTGCAGTCTCACCGAGTCGCGCTGCGAACGCAGGATGTTCACGAATCAATAACAAATCTTTTTTGTCTGACTGTTGTTTGCGCTTGTCTGGTTGTCCTCCTTAAAACATGATTGGATCCACAGCATCAAACAAATCCTGCATTGCTCACTGATTTCATGAAGACCTCTTTGTTTACTTTTGTCATCTTAGTTTTCCATAGACAACTACGGAGAACTAATTCCAAGCTCCTTTGCCACCGGGATCACCCCCAGCTTGACAACCTTTATCAAGTCCTACACCCTACATCATCCCACATCACTGATACCCACACTGACGTTTCGGAACTCAGATAGACTATACACGCTCGCCCGAGCCCGTGTTTCTGCCCGGGTGATCGACCCTCTGGCAGAGACCTCGGGCCCCGGACTTGGGTGAGGAGTTCGTGGCCAACGAGGGGGGTGAGGAATCCGGCACCACCTGCGTTCCGGCGTACGACTCCTTCTGCACGACTCATCCACTCTCTAAATGCCCCAAAGAACGAGATGGACCTCAAAAATTCTCATCTTAATGACAGATTTGGGGGATCTTGGAGGCACTGCGGCATTGGTCTGTGATTTAGTCGCACTTGAACTCCAAAAGCAGCGCTGTTTTAGCCCCGCCCAAGTCCGTTGGCGAAGAAATTGGCCAACTTG